GATAACTGATGAGATTTTCGACATGATGCAAAGGAGACAGAAAACTCTGCCAAGATACGGAACTGAATACAGAAAACTACACAATGAAGTAAGGACCAGATGCATGCAGGCTAAAGAAGAATGGCTAAACCTAAAATGTAGAGAAATAAAGAGATTACCACCAACAAAGGAGATATGCATAAACAAATAAGCGAAGTAACAGGACAGAAGACGTGGCATCGACAGGCTGTATAAAAGCAAAGGATGGAACTCTCATATTAGAGAAGGAAAAACTTTTTCAGCGCTGAAGCGAATATATTGGAGAACTCTTCCACGACGAAAGAGAACGACCAGCAATACACAGAACTACCGACGGATATAAAATTCTAAAAACCGAAGTCTAATCTGCAATGGCGAAATTGAATAGAAACAAGTCGGCAGGGCCAGACGGAATTGTGACGGAAATGCTGACAGCTTTAGATGAATTCGGCAGAGGCAATGTTACAGAAATAATAAATGAAATCTACAACAGTGGGGACATACTGGAAGATCTCAGCAGGTCTATTTTTATGGCACTGTCTCAGAAACTAGGCGCAAACGAATGTGAACTCCATCGAACGATCAGCTTAACGAGCCACATAACAAAACTCATCATCCGAATTCTGATGAATAGAGCACGCAGCCGAATCAGGCCAGAGAGAGAGAGAGAGAGAGAGAGAGAGAGAGAGAGAGAGAGAGAGAGAGAGAGGGGGGCAAGAACAGTGCGGGAACAAGGAACGAGATATTCATTGCTCAGAATGTTATCAGAAAAGAGCGATATAAGTGCAGAATGACGTGCACCTGTGTTTTATATTTACGAAGAGGCGTTCCACAAAGTACGCCAAAAAGATCTATTGGAGCTGCTCGGCAACCTTGATATATTCGGCAAAGTTATTAGTTATTATTTTCTTGTGTTCTATTAGAGGCTACCATGGTAATGCTCTCGATACTTATCAAACAGAAATAAGGATGTTAACATTTTGCACATGCTCTGTAACATTAGTCGAGATCATTTTCCATTTATATATGTCTTCTACAATGCCTCGCATAATCTGTTTAGTGTTGCATAATCTTTTTCTAATTTATATTTGCAATGTCTGTCATCTTACTTCGATCGCATCACTTGTGTTGTCTTCCGTCTCGTTTAGTCGTCTATGGCCCCTAAGATGTCTCTTGAGACCAGCATTCGTTTTCATAGGCATCAGGCATATATAACAGGTAAACTCCGTATCTTTTATTGGGTTGTTTGGAACCGCATTTCTACATCTCTCTTGTGCATCACCGTGTGCCTATTCAGGACAGATGAAGACGGGTGTAACTCTGTGTGTGTCCATGATTAATAGCCAGTGACAAAGCAAGATAATTAATAATTATTTCGACCGCAAGTTTTCCTGAGACTTGCCTACCATCAGATATCACATACATACATACGCATACATATATAACATTATGCTGCATAGGCTTGATGGCCGTTGATCCCCCAAGAATATTCATCCGTCCTTTGACAGTTCTTTTTTTATCCTGTCGGCTGAATAGCCACTCTCTTCACAAGTCAAGCCGATATACGGCAGGTGGTATTGGGTTACATATTATCAATAGCACTCATTTGACCTGATATAAACATAATATAAATTTGGCCATCAGAGGAGTTGGTAATAGAGCAGTGAGCATCCATCTGCATAGAATTAATATAATATAATATTAAAGACATTTTTTTTTTATGTTTAACATTCTTTTTATAGATACAAGTATTTAAGTAAATGCTCTGTTTATAATAATTCGAACCTGCATCCTATAAAAAAAAGAAAAGAATGTTAAACATAAAATAAAATGTCTTTAATAAATTGTCGGACTTTGTCCAATTGTTAATGTATGACGTCATTTGTTTACATTTGATACGCCATGAGCAGTTATAAATGTACGAGATTCATGGAAGATTGAAGTTTATAAGGAGTAAATTCGACCTTGCCTACCGAACGCTCCTTTGTGGCCGAGTCGATTAAGGCTCGTCAGCGTAAATGGTTCCGTATAGGATACAGGTTCGAATCCTGTCAAAGGACGAATATTTTCTATGAAAATTTCTCGGACATTCAGGCCGGTAAATATTATTTAATACTGTTTATTACGAACAGAGCATTTACTTAAATACTTGTATCTATAAAAAGAATGTTTAACATAAAAAAAAATGTCTTTAATAAATTGTCGGACTTTGTCCAATTCTTAATATAATATTTAAAGATATGTTTTGTGGTACAAAACTTTATAACTGCTATAAATAGACAAAAATTATTTTTATTACCATTCATGATGATAATAAATAAACAGTAAAACTGAAAAACGGGCTAGCCAACCGGTTTCGAACCTCCCTCAACAGAACTAAATCGAGGTTAATAAACTGAATTATCACTAAAAAATTGGACAGTATGTATTAGAGAAAAGAAAGAAAGAGAGAAAAAAAGCTATTGCTTAGATGGAAATTAGTTGGAGGCCTAATACGAAGTCCTTCTGTTTACACAGAGAGGGCTTCAACGATAGAATATAGATGGCCTCCAACACTTTAGTGATAATTCAGTTTATTAACCTCGATTTAGCTCTGTTGAGCGAGTTTCGAAACCAGTTAGCTAGCCCGTTTTTCAGTCTTACATTTTTTTATTATCATCATGAGTAGTAATAAAAATAATCTTTGTCTATTTATGGCAGTTATAAATATATAATATAAAATCAAACCTATTGTTGGAAACGATCATCGTAGGTGTGGTAAATAAACTCACTATGAGGGCAGTATTGATGCTACTGGGAAATGAGCTGGCTGGCAGCAAGATGGGTACCTCTTCTCACACTAAGTCGAGAAAACCAGTTTGCTTCGGTGAAATGGGTTCAGACAGAAAACATAAAACAGCTAGAGTAAATTCGTGTGCAGTGACTCGTGCACAAACAAGTGCGATGAATAATGAAAAAAGAGAAACGATGAGAGTTCTTTGAAACATTCCTGAACAAAGACGGTCGTTCGTAGGGGTTAAACAAAATTGGCAAATGAGATTCTTTGGTAGTGATGAGCCCGCCTCAGGCATTTTTCTCTATCGAGAAAGAATCTGATTGCTGAGTAACAGTCTAACTTCGAACAAATGTAATTTATTAACCGGGTAAGATCGGGAAATAATTCAGATAACGTATCAAAGATATATTACATTAAAAATGGAATGCTAATGATGACGTAGAAACCACCTCAGATCCCAGATTCATAAGCCTGGGAAACTGATGAACAAATAGTAGTTCGAAGGACCTATCGCTGAAGCATGCTAAGAATGACTCATGGAATTCTATTGGCTGGACACCTAGGAATCAGCAAGACTTGCAAAAGTATTATAAAACATTTTAATGGCCCGGGGTTAAGAAAGATGTGGTGGAATTTTGAAAAACGCGTCATATATGCTAGATTGGAGGGAAGTCGAATGAGAAAATCTCAGCTGGACTCCTACACCCTATTTCCGTCTTTGAAGAACCATTCAGCCGGGTAATCGCGGATTGTGTGGTTCCTCTATCTAGAGTCAAATCAAGTAATAAGTATCTGCTGATCATATGTGCGTCATCCAGGTTTATTGAGGTCATTCCGCTTCGGCAAAGATGGTAGTAAATGGTACTTTCTTTATCAAGGTGGGTTTACCGGAGGTAATCCAAACCGACCAAGGATCAAAATTTATGTCAATGCTGTTTCGGCAAGTTGTTAAGCAACTGGCTATAAAAGCTAGCGGTTACCACCCGCAGTCACAGGGAGTCTTTAAGAGGTTTCACTCCACCATGAGTAATATGATGCAGACCTATTGCTTAAATCACCAGAAAGAGTGGGACGAGGGAATCCCATTCCTAATGTTCGTGGTCCGCGAATCGGCCCAACTATTCCTGGGATTCAGCCCATTTGACATTTGGACACTCGGTACGCGGCCCTTTGCAATTGATAAAGGAAAAGTGATTACAGGATAACCCAAGGAGAGAATATTTGCTAGATTGTGTAGAGCGATTTAGAGCGATTATTGGAAGCAAACGCGTTGGCTCGAGAGCACCATAGAAGTGTTCAAGGCAAAATGAAGGGGCAGTGTGAAAAGAAAATAGTGGAAAGAAAATTCGAGATAGGTGATGAAGTTCTGACTTTACTACCTACGAATTACCATCTCGTTAAAGTTCGCTTTCAGGGCCTATAGCTAATCAAGATAAAGTTAAATGACCTCAACTATAGAGTGACCCCCCCCCCGGGATGACTTATCTGGAGCATGTTGCGAGGTATGGGATAGTTCATCCTCTTAACGCTAAAATCGAAAATATTATGCGATATCCGACCCCTGATAACGTGAAAGCCTACGGAGATTTCTAGGCACGGTGGGTTATTGACGCAGATTCTGCAGAAATGTTTCTGAAATCTCTTCTTCTAACCGATCTGGTAAAGAAGAACTTTTACATGGGCTTCGAAATGTCAGGAAGTCTTTGATAGAATTAATAATTACTTGAGTAAAGATCTGCTGCTTAAAGCCCCAGATTTTGGTCAGCTCTTCGCTGTTGCTGTTGATGCGAGCGACTAAGGAATTGGGGCAGTCATATTGCAAGCGGACGACCAGAATAGAAGGCACCATGTTAGTTATTATTCTTAGAAATTTAACAAACGGCAAAGAGCATATTCTACAGTAGAGAAAGAAACAGAACATTTCTAAATTTATGTGGCAGAATCGAAGCCACCTACAGTTATTTATACGGACCAAAATCAGTTAGTTTTTATTAATAAGATGTAAAACAAGAATAGAAAGCATCTACCTTGGAGCCTAGCTTTACAGGAGACAAATTTACAAATTCAACATATTAATGGTGGCGAGAATAAATGCGCTAACGTTTTATCTCGTATCTGACTCTGTACACTGTCCTACAGAAATAATAATATTTTTTTCCGTTTGGTGGTGCGGATGTGACGATACTACGCCGACAACTCTGAATTAATGACCTCACTAAACCGCAGGGAGGTTAAATTGTGCCGTGAATTTTCTCTCTCTCTCTCCGTCTGTGGCAATGACCCTCTTACTCGCTGTTGGTGTTCCTTATTCACGTGTTTTCAACTCCGAGTGAGAAAATATATTGTAGTCGTGGAATCCCGGTAAATCCTTGGCAACTGATTCACTTTATTTATTTATTTATTATGTACGTTGGGGCGCTCGCGGGTCATGACATTATCTATACATTTTTTTTTAGGAAGTTTAATGCTGAAGAGAAGATTTGCATTAGAAATCATTTCAGAACGAGGCTTTATATAATATCTCAGATAGACTTACTGATAACATGTTGATCCACTCACTTAGAAACGCGTAAAAACAAAACAGATTCCGACAATGGTTCCTTCTTTAGAAAACAAAAGAAAGTCTAAATGAAGACAGAATAACATCACATAACGAGAAGAAAAAAAAACCCAACAAAAACAAAACAAAACAACAACAAAAAACGGAAAGCAAAAAAATTAAAATACAGAGAAATTCCTAAAAGAATCAACTCGTTTCTCAAAAATGATTGCAGTGCGATGAACGTTTCATAACGTCCCCGAGGTGGCGTTGCGTGAAAAAGTATAAAAGGAAAGGTCACAACACCCCTCTCGCTCTCTTCAGCAACCCCCCTCTTGCTTCTCGCTCTCTTCAACAATTCGCTCTCTCTTTTCTCGCTCTCTTCAACAACAGGCTGTCGTAATGACAAGACATGTCTCGTTTCCCCATCCAAAGGTTATTCTTATACGCTAGGTGAAGCACGTGTCCCGTCACGACACTCTCTTCTGTTCAAACGTCCTCAAGCGACCTCCTCTAAAAACGTATCGTATAAATGTATATCACTCTCCAGCATAACAAATAACCCCAGTTTGACAAACGAGACAAAGGCATAACAAATTGTTTCTCTCGTTACACAGTATACAAAGAAACACAGGCGTATAGAAAAAAAAACACTTGTGTGCAATCAGATGTACGTATAAACTATCGGTTTAAACTTTTTGTGATTTTATTAACAGTGCATCATCACGCAAGCTTGGCGACTGAAGAGCCAATATGCAGATCTATATAAATTAAGATTTGGTAAATTGGAAATAAAATTAGACAGATTCAAATTATAGCGGACACTGTATTAGAACATAACCTTCTAAAACCGTTTCAAATGAAATAAAAAATCTCTTTTTTTTAATAATTTCACTCTATGCAAGGCAATAAAGCCACTAATACAAGGGATTACTAGGTGTGGGAGAATTAGAAACAGAAGCATTAAAATGAGTGGAAAGAGTATTGACATTACATTTAAATTTTAGCAGATTAAAGTTCGCTGGAAAGCATGGAGTTGGAAAGGAGTCCCACAAGCGAGAAGTGCGATAAATGAAACTGTTCGCATAGAATTTACGGCTACATCTAACCAGGTCATTTATAAATTGATGAGACCACGTCGCCAGCCTAGTACAGCACTTAAATAAAAAAAGCAAAAAAAAAAAAACAAAAAAACAAAAAAAAACAAAAAAACGAGAGACCATAGCGAAGGGATTATCTGAAAAATTATCATGAAAGTATTTATAGAAAAAGCACAACGAGACAACCTTCTGCCAGTGGATAAGCGACTGGAACCGAGACGCCAGATCAGGACCGATAATATTGCAGATTCTTCTTGGGATATGATCACGTCGTCGTCACGTGGGCGATTGTGTGAAAACGTATTCGACGACGTGATCATAATTAAACGGAACGCTGATCTTATATAAAAATTTCAGTTATCTGTTTGGATTAGTTGTGCTCTTATGTCCATCGTCTTTTGTGTTAAATTGTTATATGTTCTAATGTTAATTATGTTTAAATGAAAATGTCCATGAAGATGGTCTTAAATATACCAAAACGTCCGACGTCGACTTTATATTTACATTAATACAGTATTATTGCATATTAAAATTTTTGTTTGTTTTTTTCTGTATTTTTTTTTATATTATATATATATATATATATATATATATATATATATATATATATATATATATATATGTATGATATGATAGATTCTGGAGAGTTAAATTATCTCGCACGACACAGCCAACCAACTTTCTCAGCAGCTGGCCTAGCAATGTATTCAATATAGTCTTTCCATTTCATGTCAACTGAGAACGTTAACCCGAGAAGACTATATACTGAAAATTATACGATATCTACATTGTGTGGATACCAGTCTAAAATTTAATTAACTTATAATTTACAGAGATGGATAAAATTTACATAGCATTTAAAGCATATATTGTTAACATGTAAAACATCAGCTTTTAGACCGTTCCGGGTATGACGATAAACTGCATCCTCGTCCTAGGTTAAACGATAAACTACGTCCAACAGCAAGGCCTCTGATCAGGAAGTTTTGAGGAGCGTGGAACCACCTCTTAATTGTTGGTGTCCCCAGGTCCACACTGATCCGGGGTGGTAGCATCTGTTAGGGCCCCAACTATAGGTTAATAGTTATCCCCCGAATTCAGGCCAAAACATTATGAAAGTGTAAAAATAGGGTTTAATACCAGAAATACTTTGTAAAAAAAATATTACCAGCAGTATATTAAAAAAAAAATACCAGCGTAGGAAAATTATTACCAGAAATAGATTTTTGAAATAAAAAATATTACCAGAATATATTTTTGAAAAAAAATATTACCAATAATGAAACTTTTGCCGGCATTAAATAACCCATTTAGGTTGATATGCCATAAAACAAACCAAATAAAACCAAATCAGTTTTTAGACATGTATTGTTATACAGTGCTTAGCAGATTTACACTCTTCAAGTAACTTAGTCAAATAGTGCAGAGCGTTTTGTTGTTAACTATTCGAGCTTATTCTTGTGTACATCAATATTTCCATGCGCCCTGTATAAATAACTGACAACATATAGGCAGCCCATGTGATAGGCCATAAAGCAGTCGGAGTGAGAGTCCGAGCCGAAGCAGCAAAATGAGTCATTAAGATATATTCCTCTGTTTAGTTTATTTCCGGTTGGACTAAAACTTTGTTCACAAGAAGACATTGGACAAAAATAAGGTAGCCTCAGTAATTTCTGCAATTAAAAAAAGAAAACAAAACACGATTTCCTCCTTTTTTTTTTCTTTTTTCGTTGTGGACGATTTGTATATTTTTACAAAGCTACATTTTTACCCGTCTCAATCTTTTAATGAAAATTCACCTTTTTTTTTCATTAAAGACTTTAGCTTTACTTTGTATTTTATCGCATTTCTTGACGGTTTAACTCTCTTCTGATTTCTTGCATCACTCTTACAGTCAAAAATTGAAATGCCACGTCAATCGCTATCTTGTCTTCCTGAAACCTGTTCTTTTATTGTCCTTTCTCCTCAGCAAAATATTGTTATTCTCTTTCACTCCGAGTAACCCTTTGTGTCTTAGTGGCATTAAAAACAAACTGATCAACACGCCAAGGCATTTTAGGTATTTAGACTTTATTAATTTCATATCATGAATCAAGAAGCATTAAACACGTTAAAAGAATCTTACTTAAGTTAAATAACAGATAATAGAAAGATTGATTATCGGAATCACCTTGATCCTATTTTTTGAGCGTAGTGGTTTCCGAAGCAGAAAGTGGGTATGCAGAGTCCAAAATACAGCTGCGTTCACTTTCATACGAATACCTTTGGGAAAAGGGGAAAATCCATTCCCCACTCACGAGGGGTTAAATAGCAGGAAAGATTGGACTCATTAACCTTTGTTGGCAAACCAGTCTGTTTGTTGGAGAAGAACAACTATAAATTCATAACCCCATCTTGTAAAACCAGATTGCTACGGAAATTAGGATAGGAAATATAGCGTTACCAACCTATGGACCTATACGTATGGAAATAATCTATCGAATTAACCCCACGCCTAAACTACAGTCGTTATCACATCGAATACAGTTAGGATCTTCCTGACAATGTTAACACCACTATACTTTAACTAGCTGCATGGTATTTGTTTTGCCAGGGGTATATACGCTATTGAATTCAAACATTTACATTCTCCCAAACTGGTAGGCAATGAGGACTAAAGAGTTAAGTCTGCTTTACTATTTAATCCATAGCTAGAAGGAGAGGTATTATTGGACGAAAGTGAATGCAAAAAACTCGACCGGAATTCGAACCCGGCTCGGCGATTTCTCGTTAACAGTTACACCACCTGCACATACACAGTTTTATTATTTATTATTTGAACGGGATTTATTTGTAAATATTCGGAGATAACTTTCATTATACTAATGAATTAGTCAACCATAGATGGTAGCAACATGGCAGATTGTCGTCTCATATAAAGATTTGGTGGAAAAGGACTTTTTTTTGTGGTTGTTATTGACCAGCTTTTCCTCGAGGGAAAATGTTCACAAAATTCTTCTTAAGAGAGATATTCAAAATTTCGAACATTTTCTAAGAATTCTTCGGTTGGAAAACATAGCTCCGCGGCATTGTTCTCAAGGCCCACATTAATACAGCCTTTACAGTTTTCCGATGATCGTTAAGAATAGGTTTTCGATAATCGTTCGAGAACACGTAATCATAGGTGTTCATTCTTTTGTTATACAAACTCACGTGCATATTTATTTGCTAATGCATTATGTTGTAAACAACAACAGCAAAAAAGTAGTTCCTTGTCTGAGAGAGACGTCATATCTCTTGCGTTCGAACAGTGAAAATTGTCAGGATGTACTTTTTTTGTTTTAAATCATTCCACCCCCAAGGAATGCGGAAATACCACGATTACGCAGGTGAATACAGAGAGTGAAAATGACAGAAAAGACTGAATTGGTTGGTTGGATGGTTTTGTTTAGCGATATAGCAACCTTCATGGGTTATTTAATGCCGAAATCTAAATATTTTGATCACATTATTTTATGCATTCAACTACAGATAAAATGTATTGTTGCTCATTTTTTGCACACACACACACACACACACACACACACACACACACACACACACATATATATATATATATATATATATATATTGGTGTTGTTATCGAAGTGGGGGGGAATCGTCGTCGTGATGTCAATACACTCAACCTACATAAATCCAAAATTTAAGAAAATTAATTAGTTTGTCTGACGATCACAAAAGCGGGAAACCCAACCAAATATATTAGCTCTATCTCTGATATTGAGCACTTTCTAGTAAGTACAGCCCATATAATATATAAATAATAATATATATAATATATTACACACACACATATATATTTATACACACACACTTTTTACACACATACACACACACACACACACATATATATATATATATTGCTGATATTTTTACTATAAAAATGTATTTTTATACTTTCATAGTGTGTTCTTTAAGGAATTGACTATATAACCATAATTAGGTCCCTAACAGGTGCTACCACACCTGGTAACAACAGCAATTAAGAGTTGGTTCCACACTCATCTAAACCTCCAATTTCCCGAGCAGAGGCCTTGTTGCTGGGTGTAGAAAAGACAGGGTATAGGGAGCATTGAGAAACGACAAAAGATGAACGGGATTCAAGAAGATAGAAGATGGCGATTGACATTTGCGTTTATATTTTTGAAGATTGTAGTTAGCAGAAAAGCGAGTAAACGGAAGGGAGTTCCCCAGGCGGGAAGTGCGAGAAACTGTTGGAGTAGAACTGGGGGTTGCATTTAGCTATTTCAACAATAGGCAGATGGGAACTCAATGCCAATATAGTAACATTGTGTTGTGGTGTCCTCCCTCTATATAGTCTATGTTGGACTCTTCCGCCTACTATAAGATTAGTAGGAGAGAAGGCCTTGGGGGAATAGTCGACCAGATTGTTCATTTGTCGAACTCTCTGCTTTGAGCGGAGAGTAACCCGGACGAAGCTTTGCCGAAGGGCAGGGTTTCCTCTGGGGAGGTAGACAGGCCCTGAACCCGTTTATGCGGGTTCTAAGGGAATATTTTTGACCGAGCCTACGGGCTCGGAGAACCCACCGTAAACTCGGCCTTGTGCCACATAGATCCCTCGTGGTGGGGGCTGTTGAATGTAACAGTCGAACAGATTGTTCATTGCTGTCGAACTCTCAGCCTTGAGTAGAGAGGAACCCGGACGAGGCTTTGCCGAAGGGCAAAGTTTCGTCCGGGGAGGTAGACAGGGCCTGAACCCGTTTATACGGGTTCCAAGGGAATATTTTGGCCCGAGCCTACGGGCTCGGAGAACTCCTCGGATAACTCGGCCTTGGGCCACATAAATCCCTCGTTGGGTCGGGGGCTTTTAAATATTAACAGTCGAATATATTGAACGCTTGTCACCCGACCCACACTCACTAGTCGTGTAATACTCTTCTGTTGAAATTTACAGTTTAAAATATGATATATCTGTAACACTTGTTTCGTTATTTCTTTAACCATTTACTTGGTCACAACACATTGCCATGTAAATAATTTTAGAAAAGGCAGAGGGAAGCCACGCCACATGGGTGAGGAAGTGACTGAAGTTGAGATGCCAAGTCAGGATCAGTTACATTACAGATCCTTCTTTTGATTTTGTCAAGAGATTTGAGATGAATAGCAGGAGCACCAGGCCAGAAATGTTCAATGCACGTGCCAATAGTATATTTGTAAGTGTGCAAGATTGATTCCGGCGATTAAAAATGTTCTGGCACGATAGTGACCCAGCTATCCTTGCAATAGATGCAGCTATTGATTCGATGTAGTCTCTCCACTTCAAGTCTGTTGAAAAGGTGAGATCAAGAAGGCGCATTGTGCCAACCCCCACCCACAGGAATCCAGAAAGTCATTAAATAAGAGCATATCTGAGATTTAAATAATTAACCAGATAAGTAATACTGAAAAAAAAAATTCCCGAAATTTTTACATAATTTGAAGATATTCATTTATTGAGAAAACAACAGTAATACATAGTGCGATGGGTTAATTGTCGCCATATTATATTTTTAATTTCGAGCATGCGCGTTGTTTGTTTTTGATTTAGTCGGCTGGAGGACATAGTAGGGTCAATTGGGCACAGTCTGTGAGAAAAAGAGCAATATAAGGCTTATAGCGGCATTCAACAACTTAGTCCAGAAGAGATGCAGGTGATTCCGAAGTCGTCTGCAGGTCGAGGTTGAAGCCATTGGTAATTTTATTGAATAAATTTAATCTCTAGTATTTGAATATATTTTTGTGTAATTTTGGTAAATATGCATTTTATTAAAATGAGATGTAGACCCCAATTTATTCATCGCACACTACACACATACACACACTCGCACAGAGACACAGAGACACACACACGTATATATATATATATATTAAATGGATTGTATATATATATAGATATATAGAAGCATCTGCGGTTAATGCAAATGTCTTCGGAGCAGAAATTGAAACCTGCTGTACGAGTACAATTTTAGATTATTAAAAAAAACAAACTATTCTCAATCGAAAGCCATAGAGAAAGCAGCTGAAAACTACTTTGGTATACATCTTAACAATTCATGATAATTCATTGGTGATAAAGAAAAAAATGCGTCTCTTGAGAGCGATGATCTTACTTTCTGAAAGGACATGTTATTAAAATTTAAATATACAGGAGAAATATAAATATTTTATAGATTTTTCACGGTCTGGGATATACGGGTAATAGAAAGTGGCATTGGCAAGCCGATTTTTCGTGATGTTAACAAACACTCGTTGCCACTTTTGTAATGTCAACGAATACTCGTTGTCGTTTTGGTAATTCTCGTTGTAGTAGAGATTTTGTAATCGCAGAGACAGCTATAGTAACGCCGTTGAACAATACTGGTGTCAGACGCCTTCGAATATCACTCGCACTAGTAACACTTGCTCGATAATACTCGCTCGAATAGTAACCATCGAATAGTGATCCGTATAGAGAAGTTGTATAGTGATCCGTATAGTAATAGAGGACATAATAGAAATAGTGATCCGTATAGTAATAGAGGATAGAATAGAAATAGTGATCTGGGTAGTGATAGAGGATAGAATAGAAATAGTGATCTGTGTAGTAATAGAGGATAGAATAGAAATAGTGATCTGGGTAGTGATAGAGGATAGAATAGAAATGGTGATCCGTATAGTAATAGAGGATAGAATAGAAATGAGGATCAATTAGGCGCCACGCTACTTCCCATATATATATATATTTCCCTTACCATCACGCGATCTACTTATTCAAAATGTGTTTGCTCTCTGGTGATTTTAACCATTTAGTATCTGGATATGGTCACGAAGTTTTAAAGGGAAGATCAGTATAACATTAATGTCATAAATTGTATTTTAACACAATATTTAAGCACATATTGCACTTTACTCTTTTCCGTGTATATAATCGATAAAATAATAAAAAGTAATCCTCATCTAGTATCAAAAAATGTCTTAAAATATGTCCTAGTGAAACAATAGTTCATTAGCTTAACCCGCTGCGTTTACTTACGCGCTAATGCCACTGGGAAGAGCAAGAATTCATCTATTCTACCAGTTATTAGTTAAATAGCATGATCAGACTGGTTCATTCGTCACGGAAAAGGACAAATGTAAATTCAAAAGCGCAGAAAAGGTAACCAGGAACTACTCTATCTTTCCCAAGAATTCGTGACAATTCACAGAAAATAAATAAAAAAAAACCTGTGGAATGAAATGAACGCCCACGCCAGGAAGGCTTTTAAAACAACTACCACAGAAATTATTAGCCGGAAGTAGTTGAAAGTTCTGTTGATATTTACTGAAGAAAGAATATATGCTCCCCGCCCAGCATTATCGTGGTATAATGATCAGCGAGTTGTACTCATGAATCTTTAGTGGTGAGTTTGATTCGCACGGAGTTCCGCATACTTGTGTCAGTCATGAACTATGCAGAAAAAATAATATATTTGCTACGAGAATGTATCCGTTATTCATAATATAGACTGTTCAATATAAAGAGTTCCAATTTTGTCGGTAATCATGAACACAATTATGAAATCGAGAAAAAGTCGAAATATTAATGCAATATTAGTTTCTATAAATGGGGAAAGTATTAAAAAGAACATTTTTTTAAAATTTAGTTTTGTAATCTTTAATCAAATTTGTTAAAAGAGCATCTTAAGTCTGCCTAGAAACAAAATTTTTGATGGTTTCTTAAAAATCTCACACATATTCAAAATTTTGAATAATAATAATAATAATAATAATAATAATAATAATAATAATAAATTGGACTCGGCTCTCCAGGATACAAAGCTGGAAACATTACATACACAAATGATAATAATAATAATGGTAAATTCTCAATAAATAGAATATAAACATTATACAAGTAATAAAGGAATAATTTCCTCGGTAAAATTAGGAAATATTCTGTAAACAGAGCTACAGAGACGGAAGATGTCTTCACTTTTAGTTTTGGAGGAAATCTATCTATGGTTTGTATTATCTATCTATGCTTATTTTAAAATGGTCTCTCTCTCTCTCACTATCTATCTATCTATCTATCTATCTATCTATCTATCTATCTATTCCCACTCTGTTTCTATCTATCTATCTGATATGTCCCGGAAAGGGATATATTTAAACGAAGTAGCTAAGTGGTTTTGGCTATTATAACCAAGTAGAATATGGTAGTAGTAATCGACTGGTACGCGTCGTAGTCGGAGGTAAGAAGTGTAGATCAATGGCGTAGTCCAATGGGCGCCGTTATAGACTTCGCTCTCAGACTAAGGCTCTCTTGACTCTCTCGTACCTACACGTCCGTCGGTATTTATGACGGGCACCAGCCAATCATATTCCAGTGAGGGGGAACACAGGTGTACACATATTCCATTATATCACTATCTATCTATCTATCTATCTATCTATCTATCTATCTATCTATCTATCTATCTATCTATCACAATCTGTTCTTTATCTATCTGTTTCAGTCTGTTCCTTTTCTGTCTATCTGTCCCAGTCTGCTGTTTATATATCTATCTAGCTATCTAGTTGATTGTCCTCGAACGAACACGTTTGAGCTCTTCTTTTCAACTGTTTATGTCAACCATAGCACTACGCAGTTCTTTTTTATGATTTCGATATCATCAATAAAGCCTCTTACTTGTCTGTTACCATAATTTGAATCTCGTAGTATACATTGATGCATAACATTTTGTTTGATTATCCAGCAATGGCCTTTAAACCGTATTCAGCTTCCACATGTTGTGTCATAAACCTTCTATAGGTTACCATATTGGACGTGTGTTCCCTTCATTGGACGTGTTTTTGTCCAAATGATATTTAGCACTGTTCTCGATAGTCTATAAGTACCATATTTTTTCCGTATCATCTATTTGTTAGTGTTTTTGACTCGAGTAGGATGACCTGACATCTCGGCTCCAGTCACTTTCCTACCGCCGTAACGTCGCTTCCCTGTGGCTTTTCTATGAATATTTTCATGGTAGTTGTACTGATGAGCCTTCCTCCATGGTACCTAGACTATACAAATTTAATCACCGTACTCGATTGGCAGCAAGGTCCAATCCTATTACAGTTAAAATTGTTAGATATAACCGTAAGTTCAATGGTAACAGTTTCTTCTCTCGCAATTCTCGCTATTGTAAATCTCTACCGACTTCAGGCGTTCATATCCCTTAGGATCTTTAAACATTTAAATGTAATGTTAGACGTTATATTCTGTCTTCTTAATTCCTGTTCTTTTATTCTTCTCTCTCCCGACAAAATCTATTTTTTCTCATATTCTTTCCCACTAAATAGCCCCCTGTGACTTAGCTGCTTTATTGCTTTGCTTAAGGTTTCATTATATAAAAAAAGAGAATTGTTTCATCTGGTGGCATAAAGCGTTGCCCTTTTAGGAATCTTTCATCTTTTACACTTAGATGGTATTCATTTTTGATAATGCTGTCCAGGGCATCACAATTCCAATAGATACCTTTCTATGATGGGTCCAACCATAATATACTTTGTCTTTTTTTTCGTAGCTTGAAAGATAAACAGTTTGAGAGACTGTATGTATCTATCTACATATGTCTGTTCTGTTCTATCTATCTATCTATCTATCTATCTATCTATCTATCTATCTATCATATCTATCTATTCTATTCTTATCTATCTATCTATCTATCTATCTATCCGAGTCGGTTCTATTCTATTTATTACCATGTTTAAAAGAAAATCGGTAGCAAGGTGTTTCTTTTCATTATTGCTAATTTCTTTCATTCTCGTTAAGTTTTCCTTGTCCCAGCAACTGGCATCATTGATCTATCTATCTATCTATCTATCTATCTATCTATCTATCTATCTATCTATCTATCTAAATACTTTCCAGTAGAAATATCCTTTTCTTGTGGGAAAATTGACCAAACAATCAATAACTCCCAAGCGAACAATGCGAAATTGCAGACCAGACAGATAATCAGTTGAGAATGTGACGTCATGCATACAACTGGTAAATAATATAGAACATCTTGGCAAACAACTATGTAATACAACACATTAAATCAAGTCTTATTGCAACTGAACAGTCAAAAGGGCATCTCACTCTACTTCCCTCTTCCCGTCTTTTTCATTCGATTTAATTTTATTCGCAACGATCTGTTTTTCTACTTGCAAAATTTATTTATTATTGGTAGTTATTCTAATCAGACAAGCACATAAGGTCCTCATGAAGAACACCAAATTAGTGGATTTTAATTTAGACCAGACTTAGATCTATCTATCTATCTATCTATCTATCTATCTATCTATCTGTCAGCTCGTTCATTGTTTGTCTATGTATATATGTATGTATGCATGTATATATGTATCTATCTCAGCCCCTTCATCTCCTTCGCTCTCTCTATTTCAGCCCGTTCATGTTTGTCTGTCTGTCTATCTATCTATCTATCTATCTATCTGTCAGCTCGTTCATGTTTGTCTATGTATATATGTATGTATGCATGTATATATGTATCTATCTCAGCCCCTTCATCTCCTTCGCTCTCTCTATTTCCGCCCGTTCATGTTTATCTATCTATCTATCTATCTATCTATCTATCTATCTATCTATCTATCAACACTATCACTTGACAAGACACCAGAAGTGTTGAAACAAAATTGCTATTTTTGTAGTGATGTTATAACATACATACATTGTAATTTTTAAATTAATATCTATCTATCTATCTATCTATCTATCTATCTGTTATGGGACCTTACCCATAATAACATAATGGACTATTCCATACGTAATAAATACTGCGCCTCAATAGGGAGCAGAGAGTTCCGTCTGAAGTCTGAGTTCCGTCTGAAGTCTGCAGAGAGTTCAGTCTGAAGTCTGGAGTGAAGTCCGTCAGGAGTCTGTCAGTCAGTCAGAGCAAGCGAGTCAGTCAGTCGAGTCAGAGGCAGTCCGAAACAGAGTCGCGTTCAGACAATTACTACTAAACCTGATTGTTCATACTAACACTTCTACTTCTCTGTATATATTCCTGTTTGCAATATATCTGTGTTATTCCATATCCGCCTTCGAGTTCCTCTTTATTGGTTCTACCTTGGACTATCACCGTGGTACAAGGAACCGGACCATAACACTATCTATCAAAACACCATCACTTGACAAGACACCAGACGTGTTGAAACAAAATGGCTATTTTTGTGATGTTATAACATCCTTATGTTGTAATTTTTAAATAAATATTATCTATCTATCTATCTCAATATATTATAAGTATCTATTCTGTTCTTATCTATCTATCTATCTCAGATAGTTTAACGTATATATATATGTATATCTTTTGGGCATACGTGATCTCGTCAGCACATAAGCAGGTAGTTATAAAATATCAAATTGTCAACGTTAATGTATTAGTCTAAATTTAATGCAATAATGTAACTTTCCCGCAGAAAGCGTCACTTTCTCCCCTAACACAAAGTGTAAAAAACGAACGAGAAAATAAGCAAATGTATATTTACCGTTTAATTTATTTACATTTATATTTATATGCCAGCACGAATAACGACGTCACTTTGAAAAGTTTAAAGTTTTACAGGTTAATGCATTTTCTCCATATTCGAATCTAATTGAAACTATAATAGATAAATACACTGATATGAAATGCAACAATTACAGTATGTGTGTACGCACACACACACAATATATATATATATATATATATATATATATATATATATATATATATATATATATATATATATATACATATATATGTAATGATTCCAAGAATTACACTATACTTCTTGCCAGACAATGAGCACATACCTATGTATTCATTATAATATATATATATATATATATAAATATATTTGTGTGTGTATGTGTACATCTATATATATATATATACATGTGTGTGTATGTATGTATATATATATATATATATATATATATATACATGTATGTGTATGTTTACATATATATATATATATATATATATATATATATATATATTGTTCAAGTGTGTGTGTGTATGTATGTGTCAGGAGCCATATGTATCGTACTAGGCAACAGGCTCGCATGCGCATAAATGCATTATATTATGTATATGCGTGTGTGATTGGCATTCGGATAGTAAATATATGGTAAATTACATATATCTACTATCCAAATGCTAATATATATATATATATATATATATATATATATATATATATATATATATATATATATTTCTATCTCCGATATACCTTTATGGTCTATAGAGATACCTGAAAGTATGTGGGAGATAGAAACATATAAATATACATATTCAAATGTGTAAATATTCGTTGACATATGTGGAAATAGCTGCATGTACTTTTTCGTATGAAAATTCCATTTTCAAAGATGAAATTAGCAATTAATCGACTTCTATTTTCAGAAGTGCACTTCAGCTCAATTTTGAATTTAATCATCCCCGTGTGGACACTAATGAAACTCACAGAAGAGAGAAGAACATATTGCAAATAGTTTCATGCCCCGCTCTTATGCAAACACACTAATCTTTCTTTGTCGAAGTTTATAAATCGCTATCAATCTCAGTCTGTTTCTATCTATGTTTCTCTCTCGGCTTTTTCATATCTATCTATCTATCTATCTATCTATCTCACCTCGTTCATATCTCTCTTTCTATTTATCTATTTCAACTCGTTCATGTTTATCTATCTATCTATCTATCTATCTTATATGTCCAGGAGAAATCTCGTATTTATCGACATTTCTTTGTTCATGTGTTTGAATTGGTAATCTTTCAAATGAGTGTATACTATAACAGCCATATATATCCCTAAATGTGTTGTATATTGGTCTTTGCAATGAATTAACACACAATGAGAGGACACTCCACCTGAAGTCATTGAAGGGTATAATTAATAATGAAATTACTCTGTTTTTGCCTTTGTGTTGTCTGTTGAGAGACGTGCCGGTCTCACTACCCAGCCTCTTCTTCATCATCCAATCTGATCACCAGCCACTTGTTTTATTTGCATCGATCATGCTATTTATATACGTTATTATTTGAGCTGACCACAACATTAGACCAGCATTCGTTTGGCAAATGCAATTTTTGTAATCAGTGATTTCTTGTTATTTCTTCTTTCGGAAAAACAACAAAAATAATTTAAGCAAAAAACGAATATAATTGTCAAAACGTAAAGCCAAATAAATGAACAAAACAGAAGTTTTTTTTAAATATTCGGAGTTTATTTTGCAACAGTCTTTCTTGATGTGATCATAAAACAGGTGAGACTGAGGTCTAAAATGTTTGTAAGTGTTACTATATATACATACATACATACATACATGCATATATATATATATATATATATATATATATATTAATTTACAACCAACACTAAATGAGTTTAATTATTAGAACAGCAACAATGTTTTAAAATATCTGTAAGAGCAAGGTTTTAAAAATACCAAAATTGCAATTTAAAAAAATTACAGTTATAAAACCATTGCTTTGAAATACTTAAATTGTAATCTTTAAAAGCTTTTTTACAAATATAAATTAAGTTACCTCCCTTGATTTTTGAATCAAATGAGCGCTTTTCATGTGCATTTGCAAAAAAAGAAAAAAAAAAGAAAAAAAGAGAAATATTTATTACATTAACTTTTTGTCTTAGCAATTCAACCCTGAAGATAATAGTGGATGAGACTGAAAGTACTTTGGAAAATAAAATGAACGAAGAAAAAACGGAATCTACCTTAACGTGTTTAATGGCAACGTTAACAAAATTGATCCGTGAATTTGAAAGGATTAAAAAAAAAAAAAACAAACAAACAAAACAAACAGACATAATGTCTAGATTATTTAACCAAACGTTTCAATGAAGATATGCTGCTTGAATATATATATATATATATATATATATATATATATATATATATATATATATATATATATATATGTGTGTGTGTGTGTGTGTGTGTGTGTGTGTGTGTGTGTGTGTGTGTATGTATGTATATATTGTTGTGGCCTTGTTAGGGCCAGAAATAAAGACACAAGAAAGGAAATGAGTTAAACAAATATATTAACAGAAACAGTAATACAAACATATACAAACGAGAGTGTTACAGCAAGAATGTTCGGTCCGACTGTCAGAGCTGAGTGCTGAAAACTTCACGATATTTGTATAATGATACAGATTTTGGCATAAGCCCAAAACGGGGGATGGGAAAAAGGACGGTCTTGATCTGTCTTAACTTAGCTAGCCACAAACACTGACCCAAACATACCAAAATATTCCTAACACCAAAACAATACATTCTTACTTACCTTTCTTACTACATCCACCATAATACCTCATTGTCTCTATGAAAATCCTAAATAGTCCCCAGCCTCCAACAGGCAGTACCTGCTCCTATTTATAGCTGGGAGAGCCCATCCGTGTGTAGGTAAATTAACACACACACACACACACACACACACACACACACATATATATATATATATATATATATATATATATACAATGAGCTAATCGTGTTCGGAAATTAAAAACATCTCTACAACACACTAAAACGTACACATAATGCACACACTCAATGAAGCTGAAAAATTGAATTATCCTTGATAATGGCTAAAGGTATAGCCGAAAGTTCTCAGGGCTATAAAACTTTTGGACAGTTTTACACACTCTTTGTCCAGAAAAGAAAGATCTTAAAATGCTTAACCGTAGTACCTTGTCTGTCGTTTTTAATGACACATGCATATATATATATATATATATATATATATATATATATATATATATATATATATATGTCAAAATCAAAAGTAAATGAATACAAAAGGAATCTTTTACAAAATAAAATACTTCAATATATGGTCCCCATTTTTATGATATAATCTCAATTGACTTGAAGTCGGTTACATTCAACGTGAGAACTTCGGAATTAAAAAGTCGTTGCGTAAATATACAAAGAACAAACCTTGAAAACGAATGTATTAACGTTCGAGAGTACTCGGAATAAATAAATATGTACTTTAGCAAATTTAGTGATAATCTATCTATCTATCTATCTGCAGAGGGCGATAGAAAGAGAGAGATTGTACAGTATAAAGACATTCTTCGACAAAAAAAAAGTATAGAAAACTCCCTAGAATGCTTCGTTTCTGTTTTTTGACTTTGTATAGTGGAGGCACGGTGGAGTAATGGATAGCGGCTCGGATTGAGGAAGCAGAGAGCCAAGTTCGAATTCCAGTCGAACACATTACATTCACTTACGTGCTAATACCCTTGAGTAAGGTATGGATCTTCTTCTCCCCCAGCTATGAACAGAACGGGTTCTACGCAGAAAGAAACCTACCACGGGAAAAATCTGCTATCTCAGATCGAAAGATACATGATCGCCTACGCATGGCACGTGACTGATTGACAGTAATGCATCTCGTGTAGACTGAATGAACAGAAAAGGAAACTGGGCCTTAACGAAAAGATGCTGCAACGGCGAGAAATCGTTAAGAAAAGAAAAAATATATCACATGGTAAATAAAATTCCTTCCTCGTGTTCTTCCGTCAAAGAACACGGGAACGGTTTATTTTCACGTCTTGTTCCCGCCGCCAACTCTTCATTGCCTAATATCTTGAGACCCTAAATGCTTCAAAGCTCATTCCCAGGAGGTCGTCCCCCCAAAGCACCACCTCCCCATGAATACTTTTGACCTCCGTCTTTGTACACTATTTACATCGTTCGGACTGTTGTCCTCATCTTTATTTTCATATTCACGACGTTTCGGCCGCTGTACGCTCTGGCTTTCTTCAGATGATATTTGTTGGAGTTCCGAACCGAACTGTTTATTTAGTCCACGGGAATAGATTGTTCTACTTCCACGTGCCATGCTTTTGGATATCTCAGTTTCGTCCTTCCCTCACATATCAGAAAATATCCCACAGTTTATTCCGCGAATTCAGATTTAAGTGGTTTCAATGCAGAGATTTGTCGAGCCTTCCCACAGTGGTAGGTTTGACACATGATCCACATTAGCCTGGAGAGCGTAACG